TGCTTGTTTTCCAAACAGTTACAAAACTGTGACAACCTGAGAGTAGCAGTTAAGTGGACAGGTGATTTGCCATTGTTCTCATTGAATTTCTCTCTAGCCTTTTGCCATGCTTTAACTGGGCTTTTGAAAAAATTTACAATCTTGTTGGCGTTATGGCCACTTTCACCCCCAAAAAGAACACAGTTAATGCAGAAGGCACCATCAAGCAAGGGAAAATATGTTAGCCATGGATATAGGTCAGGCCATTTGTACTGAAAGCTACAGTGAAATTCATTCTTTGGAAGACAATGATTTGTTTGTGGTTTCCAGACATTGCAGATAATATCATACTTTTCGTCATTAGTTAATGGTTCTTTTTTGAGCAACTATGCTGATGTCCTTATCGTTTACAAAAGTAGCATTGTGCTGGACATTAGTTCTTTTTGAACTAGTTGTTTTTGGAATGAACTAGTTTGTTATGGTCAACGGAGAGGCCTTGAAAAGAGGAAGATCTTTTGAATACCAAGTGATCCATTGTCAGCATTTTGTGTTGTGGATGAGGAGTTGCATCAAATATATTGGTTTTGTCACACGGAAACAATATTGTAACAACATGAATTGGCACAAGAAAATGTACAGCCTCCCAAAATGTACGAAAGCGCATGACCATCATGGATATTCTTCCACCTTCTAGTTACCGATGTTTTGCATGTTTGCATTGGCATTGGCATTTATATGTTACATCCTCTCCGGTAGATCTACTGTAAAGGTTGTCAACGATTTTTTCAAAGTTTGGTTAAGGAAGTCCATCCCAATATGCTAGCCAATCAGGGGTTTTTTCTTTCTAATAGCTGCATATTAATAATAATGATGTTACATATCGGAATATAAGCGAGCCTGGTAGTGGAATAACGCATTCAGGTTGGATACCCTATTTATTGGATACCCTAATAAATATAGAATACGTGATTCAAAGTGGTGTTGCAACACGTAGTTGGGGAATTCATGGAGAAGGAGTCAAGGAAACAGGAAAAAGATCTAAAGCAAAGTTCTGGACGATTGATGTATCCGGAGCAAAACTGCCGCATAAGCTGTCCGAAGGAGGAGACTAACAACTTGGTCAGTATTTTCTTCCAATTTTACATATGAATGTAGATCTAGAAGCATTCAATCTTTTTGTTATTACAGTGAAAACTTCATTTCCCTTCAATTATAACTTACACAAAATTTACTATTTTTATACAACCTATCTCTCGCTACTATCCTACAATCTTAATTACAAAGCTTTTTATCTAAATAGCAGCACACTGAGGATGCATAGGTAATACTTGGAGACTGTGATTTCGTTATCTTGTGAAATATTTGTCCTGATTCATTAATAGCATTATTCCTAAAGAGACTTTTGAAAATCACAGGTGGCAGTATTTTCCGGCTCACAGTTACACCCACTACTGCAAGGGGATGTTCCATGTCCCAAGGATTGGTATTTTAATTCAACGCACGTTTGATGTTTCTGGCATGTCAAGCAAGAAGTTTTGGCTGCAAAATTCCCTACAGGGGCGACCCCAAACACAGCTGTATTACTCGTTGGTACGAATGATATATTGCAACATGTTATGGTTGATCGTGCGAGGAATGATTTCTATGGGTTGCTTGTCACTGTGCAGCAAAGGTTCCCCGAAGCAAAGGTTATAAAGGCTGATCCTTACATTATTTGGTAAAACTATGTCTGTGAGTTTTGATTTTCACGCTTCGAATAAAATAAAAAGTATCATTATCATTTCTCAATGTTTGTGAAAAGGCTCAGGTAACATAAATTTGTTCTTTAGGGGAGCATTCTTCTTTCATATTCTTATGGTCTGTTTCAGAACTGTGTTCCTATCGTTAGTCACATCTGCAAAGAAAAGTTCTACCAGGTAAAACCTCTTTGCACTGTACAGTTCATAGTATTTATTTTTTATTATCAAACACAGATTATTCCCGTATCAATATTGCCGCAGCTTGGTGAATTTTGGATTTGAGAGGAACTATATGATGGCCCATGAATGCAAGAAGCTTCAAATCCAGTCACTGGACGTAAAGCCAAATTTCCAAGTGGAGGATCGCTGTTTGAGGTGGTAGGAAGATGCAAGGACAAGGAACTGCTGTTGTTGGTAACGCTTGTAAAGCAGGCAGTCCTTCATCCCAGTGTAGAATGTTTCCAGGAGGTTGTTGCAAAAGCTTCACCACCGATGCAGTGCCTTAATTGTAGGATAGTGAACAGAGCCCACCTGTCTTACTAATGCATAGTAGTCGGAATCATCAGTACATGAATATAAAGCGAATCTTTAATTAGCTTCCGCAATTTCAATTTCTCCAAGGACGTGTTAAGGCTGAGAAAAGATGGCCAGGCAAAGTCGATGGAAAAAAACGACCCTTCGGAAGAAGGTAATCCAGTAAGACTGGAGCCCATCTTAAGCGATCTAATTTTTGATTGATCTACAACACACTTTCACGCTTCTTGACTTTCACATGTTTTTTTCAAGATTGTTAATTTTGTTAATATCAAAACACACATGTGGATAAATAACGCACAAAAATACATAGTACATTCGACCTTTTACTGAAATCATCTAATTTGACGTCCAGAGAATTTTGCCAACACATGGGGTCACCAAGGGTCTCTAGACAGGTTCCTGATTGGTCAGTTGCCATTAGTCGTGGTTTTGGATACCTGGAACACAGTTGCCAAATGGACTTCAATCATGAGACATATGTCAAATAAACACACAGATCATCCTGATCCTCTCTACACAGGAACCAATCATGGTTAACTTGAAAGACGTCTATGGATAAAAATTGGCAGGTGCTTTTTTGTTGTGTTTCTGTCTAAAAAATAAAAACATATTTTGCAGCCAAGAAAAAGTTTTTCCATATGGGTTTCGCTTCTACTTTGCTTAAAATTACTTCAAATTAACATAGTTTCAAATTGATAATATATTTTCAAAAATACACATTAAAAAGATAGAATGCATTTTACAGACCCTATGAACTTTGCCTTTACAATAAGTATTTCAACATCACCTGTTTTATGCTGAGAAGCAAGAGCCAATAGCTTTTAATTTTAATACAAATTATCTATACCGGGAAGCAAAGTATATGATGGGTTGAATGTTATCCTTACAAATAAGACCATTGTTGAAGACAAAGTTATCATCAGATGCACAAACAAGTTGTTTTGAAGGTTTTCATTCCACCCTGAATCATTGACATCCAAAGATGACAGATTTGTCATGGATGGGTACAATTTGCAGGTAACTAAGTGTTTTTATAAATGGTATGACTAGTATGGTAAACAAATGATTTCCATTTTCCTCAAATGATGCCAATGCATATGATCTTGTCCAGTAATTTAAAGACATTGACCTGACAGGAAAGAAAATCATCCAAAGACATTGCATTCTTTTAAAGAAACTCTTGCAGTGTGCCATTTCAATGAGAACGTCAATTGACCTCAAGAAAATGTAAGTGGAGAGAAGTGTTACAATGTTGTTTACCTTAAATTCAAACTTGATGAAGAAGCTGTTCGTAAAGTTACTGTTCCTCCAAGTTATGATATTTCTATTTTAAAACTTGCACAAATCTATATTAAGAATAATGTAATAAAGAAATTACATTAAAACTATTAGCAAACTGGATGTCTGATATGCATTTGATAATGCTACTTCTATTTTTCATCAGGATATGTTAATGACATGCTCTCTTGCTCAGAAGGCGAATTGCAGGAATCATATGCAGCATTCAAAGCGAAGGAGCCTGAACTATTGAATCGCTAGTTTCCGACTCTCAAACAAGAAGCTATTGCACAAAAGTTTAAAGCAGGGTGCTCTGTCTGGATATAAGTTTTCATGTGTAAGAAATGATATTAAGCTATTGCCAGTTGGCGTTTGTTTCATCATCTGATAAGCTAATTTCCAGTTACACTGTGTCAACAAATGCAGTGAAATTTGATTCAATAAACTTGACAGGTGTAAACTTACTGGTTCTGGCTTTTTCCTGCACATCGTTTGTATGAGAGATTATTTTTATCCTTTTATAATGCCCCAACTTGTGTAAGAGCAACTCTATGTGTCATTACCAAATTATCCTCATATTGTGTTACATAAGTGACACAATCAAAAACCATTTTGCCTTCAGCTTCATTTAAACTCTAGAGACAGACGTTGGGGGAAGAAAGAAAGGATTTCATATTGCAGATCGATGTAAATCTCAGAAAGCTCTTGTATTGATTGGGAGAATTCCATTTTCTGAACATCCTTCTTGTCTCGAGAAGGCCATGCTTACACACCAAAAATTAAAACATTGGGATCATGCTGAAATTGATATACTTAATTAATGTTAATAATGGACAAATAATGGAAACATACATAGATAAATTAATAAATAGATCAAAGAAAATCATTCGGTATATAAACAGTTTGTACTCTTTTAATTTTAAACACTGTTTCAAAAATTAATAGGAAAACAGTATAAAACTTCAGAGTTCCTGCACTGCAACTAATTCCTCTTTGCGCACTGTGAAATTTTAAGCTGCCTCTCTGTCACATCCCCTGTATTGTTCGCCCTTGCAATCAACCAAAAATTAAAAACCAGATCTGTTCATTTGGTGTCAAAAACACATAGGTCATATGTTACGTGAGTGTAAATTTATTTATTAGCTTTGCTGTCTCTGTCTAATAATCACTACCCCTCAATCAAGGAAAATTTAGAATTGCACATTTTTCTTAGGAGTACTGTGTTAAGAGCATGTACATGAATATGGTTCCTATAAATAAAAACAAAATGTACATGATGCTCAGATACAGGTCAGGGTCAGGCTTGTGCTCCACACCAGTGGCATAGCCAGGGTTGGAAGATTGGAAGGGCAAAAAGG